AATTGTAACTTCAAAATGCTTTTCATTCACCATAACTCCCTAGGTTTGATACCATGAGTAAGCAACCTTTTCTCTGATGAGCTCTCCATTTCTTTGCTGTTTGGGATCATGTGGATGGTTGGCAGGGTCAGAACCAAAACAATCCTTTTCTCTTTCTGCTGCTTTTCTCTTTCAGGCATCTCTTTCCTTCCTGTCCATCAGGCTGAAGGGATATATTAATCTTTCCAGAGGTCTGAACTGATTAAACTCAAAGGACTTTTGAAATTCAGTTGAAGTTGCACATGGTCTTAGAGTTGGACATGTTCTTAGACTTGTCCACCTTTGACCCAATAATAATAGACCTCTATTTCAATCCAGCATGCATGGACATTGTAAGAGAAAGGCCCTGGATCTTTAGAGCTGCCCAGGTGCCTTTATACAAGTCTCCTGAGCAAAATAGCCTTGCAGTTACCAATGACCTTAAGACTCACTGCATAAGCAGACTTCTAGGGAATGTGGCACGAAGGTGCTAGCCTTTTAATGTAGAAGGGAGTCTGTCACCTTGCCTTCTATAGTCAGTTGGTTATTTTCATTAAGTCTAGAGTTCAGCATTTTCTAAGAGTACCACTATTACCTGGCTTTCTCAGAGGCTGTGTTTGCACTACACAAGCAACCCTGCACAGTTATCATATTTTCTGTCTGTGTTTCTGTGTTTATCATAATTGACCTGACATACAATCAAATAGTTTTTATGTTATCCTGATTTCCATCCTTTCTGCTCAAACTTCCCAGTGTTGCTAAGTATCCCATCAGTCACAGTGCCTGGAATTCAATCCCAAGGCCATGTTTCCCTGCCTATGTTGCCTTCCTCTTCCTCAATGGTCAACACATAGAGGTTGGATGGCTAGAGCAGCTCCTGCAGTTGCCACTCTTTCCAGTGGGCTCTGTGGTTGCAAACTGGACTGTTGAAACTACAGTTCTGGGTCCAGACAGCATGACAACCATACTCTTATTCATATTGTCTCTTACATACACATGTACATGCACACATGTTATAGCCTGAGGCTGCTGGCTTAGACTAATTATTTCTAATTCTGACCTATGCAGATTTATGCAATGTTTCATCTTATGGACCTAAGGCCTGGCTCTTTTAGGTACTTAGCACCTCCATTGCCATCATAGCATTTCTTACGCTTTATCCTTTGCCTGATAGAGCTGTGGACTTCCAGTGATCAAAGTGCCAGTGGTTGACTGCTGTGTAATGACTGGGTTCTCACAATCACTGTAGCACAGTGATATGCAAGGTCTGTTTAACCATTACATAGCCTACCCTCACTGGGTTCAGACAACCTGATAAACCAGACTACCAACTTGCTGTAGATTGAATATTCATTATGGCCATTGGCTTGCACAGCTCCCAGTGTAGATAGATAAGTCATTGTAGGCCATAGCATATAGTGTAAGGGCTATTTAAGGCTACCTGTGTGTACACTTACTTGAGAGTAAACCTCACAGAAAACAGTGAGGATAATTACTAAGTAAACATTCACAGGACTGGACTAATTGTGCTGCTTTCTCCTTAGTCAGGCCTGTACAAATGGAAAGGAAACTTTATGCTAATACTTTGTTTTTAGATTGTTAATCATGCAAAGATTGCCAGACAGGGACTGAGCAGCCTCTGTGTAATTACTTGGTTGGCTTTTTGGCTTATCTTAAAAGTACCATCCTGTGGATTGGTGAGAAATGCAGCCATGGCAATGAGGTTAACAAAGATTTCAGCTCCCCAGTGATTGTATTAGACCTCTTTATTCTCCCGTGGCTGCTCATAAAAGGCAGCTATATCATTATCTCAATCTACCCATGGAACTATAAAGAGTAAGCCAGCATTTTATCTATTTCTTTTCAAAGTCTCCTAATAGGAGGATATGTTAATATGCATCTGAAACAGAAAATGCATCTGAGGTTTAAATGAGTCACAATAGCAGATGCCCTGGATGGTGGACATTTCAGGTGACTAATCTTGTAGTAACAATAACTCATTCAGGTCAATGTGTTGTTGTTCATCATTTAATTTCTGTTGGACTTAATAGTCTCTATACTGGTTTTAGGTGACATGAGCACTATACAGTGAAAGGGTGCAACTGTAAATGCAGGATACAGGAGGATGAAAGAGCAGATTTCATCAAGAGTGAAGGAATGATGTCCTCTTGCCAGCCAGTACCCACCCAGGTAGAGTTCATACTCTCTTCTGTCACTGAATGGGACCTCCACTTGCGTTTGCCTGAATGCAGATAAAACACATTTGTGAATAGGACCAGCTGCATGATCAGAATCCCTTATAAAGATATGGGAAGGGTTCTACTGATGTTCAAGCAATTATGAACAAAATCCACTGCAGCCTTCCTCACTCAAGGCAGCTTGGGGATGCTAAGTGCAGCTTCATCCTCCTTATGTGTGTTGCTTGCACACTGTGCAAGCATCAAGGCAGCATCATATGCTGAACGAGCAGGCATGCCCACAGAATGGCTCACAGCAGATGTGGAGAAGCTTGTTTTCTGTAGTGGGCCACATTCCCTCTGGAATGATATGTGAGGGACCATGCACCAACAGTGGGTGAAGTTAAAGCCCAACACAGTCAGTTAGTGGTTGACTCCCTGTGTGTTTCTCACTTGATGGTGCCTCAATCAGATATGAACAGATAGCTTGTGGTGGGTGAAAGACACCTGTGCCCCTCGGGCTGCAGGTTGCCCACCTGTGCTTTAAAGATGTAGAATTCTGCATCTGGATTTGAAATGATTGAAATATAATGCAGGCTACTTTATAAAGTGGAAGATGCTTCATTAATGCAGCAAAGTGCAGTCTTCGTTAATGCAACAGCATGGATAAAAGAGTAAACTTGAATAGTTGCATAAAAGGGTATGTGAAAGAAAAGGGGAAAATTAGGTAGAAATAGGAAGCATTGCTTATAGAAAGATAATCTATAAACAGGGAGTGGCTCCTCAGCATAAGAACAGTTCAGCAATGGAACAGATTTCCAGCAGTGACCTGGAAAATCTTGGGTTCAAATCTCACATTAGCTTAAAACTCTCTTTGTGGTCTTGGTCAGTCTCTCAGCATCCTGCCTCAGTCTCTCATCAGCAGTAATAAAATGAGACAAACTTACAGATGTGTTAAAATTTATGTGAACACTTAACTTCAGTGCCTGACACTGCCTAATCATGGAAGCTAAGCAGGGTCAGGTCTGGTTAGAATTTGGATGGGAGACATGAGTCCTGTGTTCAGCAAGCGGTTGTACCCAATGGCCTTTCCAACTGTATAATTCTATGGATTTTTTTGTATAATGACATGTAGAAGGGAATATTCCTCGACCTGGTGCCCTCCAGTTATTTTGGACATAAATTCCCATCAGTCCAAGCCAGCATGGTCAGTGGTTAGGCATGCTAAGTTGTAGTCCAGGATACCTTCAGGGCACCAGGATGGGGAAGGTCAGTTCAGATGAGGTACTGAAGTAGTGGGTAGAAGGTAGATCTCCCAAAATTTTGGACTCCAACCCCCAAAAGCCTCTGCCAGCACTGCCAAAGGTCAGGAATGCCAGGAACTGAAATCCAAAGCATTTTCAGATTCAGTTTCTGCAGGCCTCCTATTTGCTGAATACCATTGTTCTAATCTAAGTCAATCTAAGGGCAAGGAGAGGCCAAAGCTGGCTTGTTCTTCCCCGCTTTCACAGAGCAGGGAGAGAATCTATTCCTACTCACTAGGTGGTACAAGAAAGGCACTCAGGGATATTCTTAATCATTACCATGGCATGTTGCACTCTGGATTTCAGTGTGAGCTTTGCTCCAGCGAAAGGCAGGGGAGCCTAGCAAGATAACCGAATAAGCCCATAAAATTAATCGAGAGCAGGCTTGCGGGAGGAGGGCAGGTACCACACGGTTTGCGGAGGTATCCCCTTTGATCTGGGTGGTGGGAGAAGGGGCTCGGGGCAGCTTCCTTCTGCAAGATCTCTTTTGGCAATGTCGTCCCCTTTTAATCACCTCTGCAGCAACGCTGGAAAGGGAACCACTCCGGGGTGGGCTGTAGTTGCGCGCGCGCTGAATCCTCTGCTTTCAGACACCCCATCCCAGCCCTCTCCCATCCCAAAGCTGCGGCGCGGCGTCTCAGCCTAGGAATCAATAGCGTGGCTTTGGCTTTTCCTAAGCCAAGACGTCGGGGGGACGGGAGCCTATAAAATCAGCAGCAACGTGCAGCTCATTCCTTCTCTGTTCGGCACCGTCGCCGGGCGCAGGCAGGGCAAGGCAAGCAGAGACCCGCGGAGCGGAGCGGAGCCGCCCCCGCCTCCCCGCCTGCCCACGCCTCTTCGGAGCGGACTGGCCTTCTCTCGACCTCAGAGCTGGAGAGGTCCGAGCCGAGAGCGCCCTCCTCGCGCGGCTCCCTCCAGCGCAGGGGCATGAGTGCAGCGGCTGCGGCCAGGGAAAAGGCAGGCGCTGGGGGCCGTCGCGGTGTCTGCCGCTGCCTGGCACTTTGAGGGCGCCCGCGGCTCAGGGGCGAGCGCGCTTTGGAGACGCGTCCGCGGAGGACTGGGCGCCGCGCGCGGGGCAGCGGGAAGGAGGAGGAGGAGGAGGAGGAGAAGCCGGTGCGCGCCCGCCCGTCCACCCCCGCCGCCTTCTGCTGCTCTTGGGACTCTGCGAGCGCCGGCGATGCTGCCTTCCCCGAGCAGAGGGTGCCCCGTGCCGCTGCTGCTGGGCGCCTGGGCGCTCTGGGCGCACAGCTGCCTCTCCCAGCGGGTCCTCAGCGGTGAGTAAAGGAAAGCGGAGCGAACTTGAGCCCAACTTCACTCATCCCGCAGTCGAGTGTTCCGCATTGCCCGGGTCGCTCTTCTTGATTGCTTCACGCGACTCAAAGCCATTTCTTAATACCGTGGGATGTCCCTCCCTGCTTTCCAAGTTGTCGCTTCGCGCACCTGTTAGGGGCTTGGGTGCTGGGCTTTCACTGCTTTCTAATCACAAAGGTGGCTCCCCTCTGTCTTAATTCCAATCGGGCATGGACTGTGTTCGTCCAGAGGCGAAGCCGAATGCCTTTTGTGCACTCTTTCCTCTTGATTTACTTAACATGTAAATGGCTATGCCATTCCAGGCAAATTTCAGAGAGTTGTTTTTGGGGCTCAGATACTAGCCACAGGTAGATCAGCCTCCCAGTAAACATGCACAAAATTCCAGCTTCAGCCTTGAAAATTCCCCGGTCTTCCAACTCCTCTCTCCTCACTATTGCATTAATAGCATTGGTTCCCTTTGTTCAGTTGTTTCACCAAAAATGCCATTTTTTTATGTCAATATATTTTGCTCTCACTTGTCCCCCGTCTAGATAGCATTGTTCCCTTGATTTAAAGCTCATGAGCAAAGAAGTATGTTTTTCTGTCACTATGGTGGGTGTATTAAAATACCAAATTGATTGTTTTAAAATGGGATGAATATCTTTAACCTCAATACAATTGATAATAGCTAGAGAGTGGGAAAGAGATTGGCATTTGCCAAGTTTTTCTAGTTTAGACTGATGTGTTCTTATCATATTCATCATGCGTACTTTGTGACAGAGAAAATCGAGTTATTCCTTTTCCCATGGAAATGATCTCATGGCAGCACCAGCACTGCAGAAACTTCTGATTTGAAAAAGTGCTATCAGGTACAGAACATCCCCTGAACAGTGTATAGTAGTAGCATAATGTTCTTGGCTTGAACTTTCACAATTTCTCTCTCTTTCTAATTCTCCCCTTTCTCCCATGCAATGGAAACAACATGAATTATAGTTCAGAAGCAAAATGCTTCTGTTGCTATGTGTGGGGCTCTAAATATGATTCTCCAACTTTGAATAACTAATAGAAGTGGAGTGAAGAAAGCTCGTGGAGATCAAGTTTAGACACAATAGGCAAGGAGGGGTCACTACAGTGAGCTACATAGAGAATTCCTCTGAATAAGCACAATATGTATTTTTGTCCAGTGAGTATCCAGATGTGAAATACAGCAGCTATGGCACACTGGAGGTATTTTCTCTAGCATCTTTCTCTAATGTCTTCATCATAAGTCATGTGCACCTGATCTCTGGGTTATGAAGTGTATAAACAGAAAGGGATTGAATCCAACTCACTCCCCAGGTTCCCTATTCTGGAAGTTTCAGTAGCATTTACTTTTATTTTCTGCAGTAGTTTTGGTGGACTGTAACAGTGGGTAATTGCAGAACTAGAAAACATTCACCAGCATATTCTGCTTTGCAGCTTCTTTACCTAATTCTCATCTAGTCTTTTCTTGAAGATTTGTGTGCAAGGAAAGAAATACCAACACTTCCCAGTGAAGCTTGTTAAAGGGCTGTATCCAGTGATAGTCCTACTTAGAACACTCATTGAAATATATGGAACTTATGTTAGATTCACATTTAGAAAGTTCTATCCCTGTCTCCACTAACCCAACTTTGGTGTTCCTTAAGCTGGATTTCACATTACGACTGCAGATCATTAGAGATGTCAACTGCCTAACTGAGAGAGTTAAAAGGCATATTAGTTTCCAAACACATTTTTGAAACATATTTTATTACATTACTGTGGTTCCCCAACAGGACTCTACTCATATGGCTATGGGAAAGGGGTTTCCTGTGGGTGTCAGGAAAAGGTCTTCTTCCACCTCTCTTATGGAGCTTGATAGATTGCCATGACTAGGGAGGATATGTTAGACTAATGCAAAAGCAAGCCAAGAAAATGGTCTTTTGCTAAGAACAAGTCTAGCATTACACTGACAGTGCTGAATCTCTTTTTCCCTGGTGAATAAGCTCCATGAGTTGGAGCCATTACAGAGTGGGTTTCTCCATCCATGCCTGGAAATTACATAAAGGAAGCAAGAGGAGTTCAGAAGCCAGATGTGGTTCTTGGTGGTGGCAATAATACCTAGTTCTCTGTAAATGGACTGGAGGGCTTCACAATTGCAGCTACCTGACATTTCTAAAATAACATGAGTACTTATTTGAAATTGAATGCAAGGTGTGCTGGTTTGCTGTTTATTTTGCTTGGAAACTGGTGTACACACACACAATCCCCATTCAGTGTACTCAAGGTGAAAAACTTCTGCATTATATATATACTGTTCATCATGTTTGGATTCAGACAACAGGACAACCCAGACTCAAGGGTCAAGAATGAGCTGAGTGTGGGTTGTCTTGTTGTCTGAACCATGGCCTGTTAACCATGAAAACCCATAGAAAGGACCTATGGTTTATGGTTGGGTTGTGAATTGTGGGTTGTACACCATGTTTTGCTAAATTCACCTAGCTTCAGACAATATAACCCACATTTCATCAACAATGCATAGCTCAATGACAATCTACACCTAACCCATGTTCCACCCTTGAATGTGGTTTACTGAGTTGTCTGAACCCAGTTACTGTGTACATCCAGGGCACTGGACTTCAGGGTTGGGGGTCAAATTCAACCTACCTGGGGTTCAGCTATCAGAAATTCCATAGATGGCGACAGTGTTCCCCACAGGACCAGCTGTTAGCACTCCACTGCTAACTCTTTCTTAGTTTCAGCCTTTGTACAACCCCATTTTAAAAGATGCCAGTGTGTCCCCTAATAATAGTGATTGCCTTTGATATCTCCCCCTCCACTTACACACTTTGCTTCCTCTACCAATCAAAGAGTAACATCCAGCTATATTTCTCATCTCTGGAGTTCTGTACAATTTTGCTGCTGTACATCAAGCACAAATAGTTCAGCAGTCCCTTAAAGACTAGCAAATATATCTGTGACATGAGCTTTGATAGGCTCCACTGAGATTGTAAAGGAAAACGTCGACTATGTTTCAGTTTTTCATACTTAGAATGGAGTCCCAGAACAAGTGCACAAGAACCAAAAACTCTGAGTGTGGAAAAAGCAGGACATCCCCCCGCTCCTTTTTTAAATGGAAATCCTTCCTGGGAGCCTCTTTCAGGAACGACAGTCCTGGTGCTTCACAGCTATTGGTCACATGGAGCACAAAACCTAATGTTTTACAGATATTTGTGTCAGTGCCAGGATCAGCACTACTGGGCACCTGCCAACAACAGAGGGGCTGTCATTGCTCCTTAAGAAACCTCTGGCTCTGTTCCCATTTACTGTTTCTACCATCTCCTAATAGGTAAGCAGTGACAAGAATGAAGGAACAGCAACCACCCCTTCTAGACCCTGATATAGAGGAAGAAAACAAGTAAATAGGCAGTGGTGAAAATGGAAAGAAAGGGAACCCACTCAGGGAGAGGGATCCACTGAAGACATGTTTCTCAAGAATCCTTTAAAGTCTGGAGCCAGTACTGGTACCAGTGGATGTGATGGGGTTCCATGCAAGAATCAGAAAACAGAATCTCTCTGGTAGGCATCCTGTCCAAAAATAATTAGATTATGCAACCTTAAGAGAGAGGTGATTAACCTCATTTGCAAATGCAGCTTGACAGTTTTCACTTAGAGATGGTGTCCATCTCATGAAGGTTCTCCCGTACGGAGAGTCTAGATCTATTGCCTATATGCAACCTATTGCCTTTCAGAGGTTTTGAACTATGACTGGTAATGATGGGAGTTGTAGTCCAAAATATCTTGGAAGTGGCAGGTTATCTAATGATAGTGATAGTAATAGTAATAATAGCAATAATAGATGACCGTTTTGGAAGCTGGCTTTTTGCCTATAACAAAAACATGGAGATGCTCTGGTGGCCATTCAGGGATGTGGAGAAAGGCACTACCAGTATGATGATAACATCTAACTATGCTTCTCATCTCTATCTGATTCAGGTGGTACTTGGTGTTTGCATTTAGTACTGATGTACTAAATGAGGGACAATAACCTGAAGCTCAATTCAGCCAAGTTGGAAGTGCTGAGGGTGGGTGATCTGGTTTGTCAGGGGCATGTTCAGCCATGAGGTGCACTCCCCTGTCTGATCAGTTACAATCCTGAGCAATCCTACTGATTTATATAGCTTTGTCTGTATAGGTGCAAACAGCACATAGTAAGACTGAGGTGCCAGCAGCAGCCCCTCCTTAAAAGAGATGATACATGATTAAGCATGCATCCAGATTTGTTTTATGTGAAGACTCAGTGGAAAAATGGCAATACGGCTCTGCTGCTTTCCTACTAACCAGGAACAGCCCTATGGAGTTCTGAAAATATTGATTGACTGGAATTCCATTTAAAAGCATAATTCAAAGTGTTTGTGCTTACCTTTAAAGCAGGGATAGGCAACCATGTTTACTTCCTGAGCTTCTCTTCAGGTTACACTCCATGGGGTACCTGAACAATTTTAGTGGTTTTTCCTCTGAATTTCAGAAGCAAATGGCTGTGGCATGTATAATAGGTAATAGTTAGCTTGTTCTGGACTTCAGAACAAGCTAACTATTCAGAACAAATTCAGGCTGACCAACTGAATGTTTTGGTGTGCTAAAACTGGATTTTTGAAAAGGCATTGATTTTTATCCAGCCAGATAAATGGGATGACAAAGGTTGCACATGGTCCATGGGCCACCTGTTATCCATCCCTGCTGTAAAGACCTTCATGGCTTGGGACTTGGGTATCTCAAGGATGGCTTACTTCAACGTGCACTTGCTTGTGTGATCAGTCATGGTCAGAGACCCTTCTGCAGGTGCCAAAGTTATCCGAAGGTACATGGGTATCGCCTTTCAGTTGTGGTACTTTACTTATGGAATGTGTGTTCCTAGAGCTATTCAGCTGGTGCTGACTCTGATGTCTTTTTGGCTCCAGGCAAAGGGTTTTTTAAAACTTTC